TGCCCCGCCCCCCCAGCTGCTCTTTCCCATCAGCTGCAGCAGCTGGAGGGGGAGGGGGGGGCACCTTCCAGCAATGCATTGTGGGAGCAGCTGCAGGGATGGGGCCCTCCCAGTGCTCCCAGTCCCCCTCCCAGTCCTCCCCGTGCTCCCAGTTCCCCCCCCCGCCTCCCAGTTCCCCTCCCAGTCCCCATTCCAGCCCTCCAGGTGCTCCCAGACCCCCTCCCAGTGCTCCCAGCGCCCCTCCCAGTTCTCCCAGTTCTCCCAGTTCTCCCAGTCCCCCTCCCAGTCACCCTCCCCACGCTCCCCAGTCCTCCCAGTGCTCCCAGTTCCCTCCCAGTCCCCATTCCAGCCCTCCCAGTGCTCCCAGTGCCCCTCCCAGTGCCCCCGAGTCCCTAGCCGAGTCCTCCCAGTGCTCCCAGTTCCCTCCCAGTCCCCGTTCCAGCCCTCCCAGTGCTCCCAGTGCCCCTCCCAGTCCTCCCAGTTCCCTCCCAGTTCCCATCCCAATCCTTCCAGTGCCCTCAGTCTCTATCCCAGTCCTTCCAGTGCTCTCAGTTCCCCTCCCAGTGCTCCCTGGGACCCCCATCCCAGGGCCCTCAGTCCCTATCCCAGTCCTCCCAGTTCCCTCCCAGTTCCCATCCCAATCCTCCCAGTGCCCCCAGTCCCCATCCCACTCCTCACAGTCCTCCCAGTTTCCTCCCAGTCCCCATTCCACTCCTCCCAGTGCTCCTAGTCCCTATCCCAGTCCTCTCAGTTCCCCTCCCAGTTCTCCCTGGGACACCCATCCCAGGGCCCTCAGTCCCTATCCCAGTCCTCCCAGTGCCCCTCCCAGCCCTCCTAGTGCTCCCAGTCCCGCTCCCCATCCTCCCAATTCCCTCCCAGACCCTATCCCAGTCCTCCCAGTGCCCCCAGTCCCTATCCCAGTCTTCCTAGTGCTCCCAGTGCCCCTCCCAATTTGCTCCCAGTTCCCTCCCAGTCCCTATCCCAACCCTCCCAGTGCCCCCAGTCTCTATCCCAGTCCTCCTAGTGCTCCCAGTTCCTCTCCCCATCCTCCCAGTTCCCTCCCAGTACCCATCCCAGTTTTCCCGTTGCCTCCCAGTGAGTTCCAGCCCCCATCCCACTCCTCCCAGTCCCCATCCCACTCCTCCCAGTTCCCTCCCCGTCCCCATCCCACGCCTCCTGGTGCTCCCAGTTCCCCATCCAGTCCTCCCAGTTCCCCTCCAGTCCCTATCCCAGTCCTCCCAGTGCCTCCCAGTGAGTCCCAGTGTCCCTTCGCCGTCCCCAGGTGCGGTGACCGGGCGGGGCCGGGGCCACCATGGGGGTCCTGCCCCTCCCCCTCCTGCTGCTGGCCGCGGGGACCCAGGCGTCGGGGCTGCAGCTCGACGGGCACCTCGACCTGGGTGAGACCCTATGGCGTGGCCGGGGGGGCCATGGGGGGCCGAGGGGGGCGC